ATATATATATATATATATATATATATATGTGGTTGAAATGACTCAAGCAGAATAGGTAGATGAGAAAGAGAAGAGGGCTAAGGACAGAGTTCTGAGAAGCACCAGTGTGTGAGTTGGGTGATTGGCAACATATATGAGCATGGAAGCTATTAGGTTAAGTGAAATAAATCTGGCACAGAAAGATAAATACCGTATGTTTTCACTCATGGGAGCTGAAAAAAAAGTTGAGCTTACAGAAGTAGAGAGTAGAATTGTGGTTACTAGAGGCTGGGAAAAGGAGGGGGGAGGGTGTTAGGGAAAGGTTGGCTAATAGATATAAAATCACAGCTAGATAGGAAAAATAAGTTCTAGTGGTATACAGTAGTGCTAGGCAGCCATGATTAACAATAATTTATTGTATGTTCTCAATTGGCCTGCAGAGAGTAGCCCAAACGGTCTCATCATAAAGAAATGATAATTTTTTTGCAGTGATGAATATGCTCTACCTGATTTGATCATCATACATGGTATACAAGTATTGAAATATAATTCTGTACCCCATAAATATGTACAATCAATATGTCAATTATAAAATTTAAAAATTTTTAAAAAGCTGGGTGATCAAGTGAGTAATCGGAGGGTTAGGGATATATTCTGTAAGAAAAAAAAAAGGAAAGAGATTAAGAAAAGAACATATAATATGAAGTCAGATACCAGAGAGACAATTTAAGATGAAAACTAAAAATGTTTCTTGGATTTGGTATCTAAAGTGATCAGTGTTGATCTTTGCTTGATTGTTTTAGTGGGAAATGAGGGGAGAAGCCTGGAGATAGCTGGTTGAAATATGAATAGGAAGGAAATAGACACAATTAATGAAAACCATTCTTTGGAATGAAAAGTGAAAAAGAACAATCAATAATTAGAGACCATTACTGAAGAAAGATTGTTTTTTAACTGGGGGAAATGTTTTCAGGCAAAAGTTGAATCAGTGGAGAGAAAGAGGCTGAAAATAGAGGAAAAAATCTTATAAATTGTCAATAATGAGCACATCGTAATACCCAAAATTTATTTTAATGAAAAGTGTATAGAAGAGAGGTGAGATTTATGGAACAGGGTCATGGAGGAGATGGGAGAGGATTGGGTTCAGATTGGAGGGAAGGAGGTGAATAGGGGTAAGCAGAGATTAATTCGTGGTTGCGTGAGTTGAGCCTAATGGCTTTGCTCATCTTTGCAGGGCTCTGTAAGAAGGGGTAGAGAGCTTGAAAAGAGTCCTGAGGATTGGAACAGCAGCTGAGGGAATGGAAGATGGTGCTGATTAAAGACAAGGAATAGCATCATTGAGTCTGAGAAAACAAAACAACACATACTTGTAGTGGTGTCAGCTTGCACAGTGAGTCAAGGGCAGACTTGAGAAATTGAATTGGGAGTTCAATAGCCGAAAAAGATGTGTAGTTGGGAATGGATATACTAAGGAGAACTGAAGTAGTGACTGGGTTGGAGAACAGGTGAAGAATTACTGAGAGAAGTGGAAGAAAATGTTCAAATTAGAAAAGAGGATATTGGAATTAAGATTTCAGAGGTAAAGGAGTTCTAGATAATCATAAGGTCCAAGAGAGTTGGTTGGTGAAATAGTGTGGAGACGAAAGGCATTATAAGAGCCTGTATTGCTAAGGAGTTTGTATTTTATCTTGAAATCGATGGGAAATCATCAGGGAAGAGACATGACAGTATTAACCTTTCAGAAGCAGTGTGGATAATGGATTAAAGAGGGGACTAGTGGAAGCAATCAGAGACATGTTAAGTTTATTGCCAGGCACTTTTGTACCCAGTTGAGGGGTTAGCTTTTGGGGAGCCAATTTTTCTGCCATATAATTTCTACTGTCTTGATTGAACCCAGTTAACTGAACCAGTCGTGATGAGCTGCTCCTGAAAAGATTACATCTTCTCAGCTGTTCTCCCAAAGTCATTTTCTTTACCAAATGTAATTAGAACTCCTTCATATTAGCTCCATAATATTTTTATGCCATTGAAATTGTGGGGCCAAGTGGATGGAAATGGTATAACCCTTCTTTTCATTACTTTTCTTAGAGGGTCTGAACATTTTTTGGAAACTCAGGCATATAGTTAGTTTCTCTGACCTCTGTGTTTCCACACTCTGTAAATATATTTTTTTCTGTTTATATTTGTCTCTTCTACCAGATTGTGAGTTCTTTCATATTAACCTGCATTGAATTTGTCTTTTTTCTTTTACTTCTCAAAATATATTGTAGTTGATTTTCACGCCCCTTTACCCGTTCCCACCCCCCCCATCGTATCTGTTCACTTTTCATAAATAGTTCAAGGAATTTTTGTGGTTATTCTGTCTTCTTCCCCCCTCACGCATTATTTGTTTTTGTGTTTATTTATTTTTAGCTCCCACAAATAAGTGAGAACGTGGTATTTCTCTTTCTGTGCCTGACTCGTTTCACTTAATATAATTTTCTCTAAGTCCATCCATGTTGTTGCGAATGGTAGTATTTCGTTCTTTTTTATACCAGAGTAGTATTCCATTGTGTAGATTTACCACAGTTTCCTTATCCAGCCATCAGATGAGGGACATTTGGGCTGGTTCCAGCTCTTGGTATTGTAAACAGAGCTGCAGTAAACATTGGAGTACAGATATCCCTTAGGCATGATGATTTCCATTCCTCTGGGTATTTTCCCAGCAGTGGAATCGCTGGGTCATATGGTAGATCTTTGAATTCGTCTTGTTTTAATGTGGTACCCAAAGATCCTAGTACTCTGGTTCAAAAATAAATATATATATATATATATATTTTTTTTTTTAAAAGATGACCGGTAAGGGGATCTTAACCCTCGACTTGGTGTTGTCAGCACCACGCTCAGCCAGTGAGCGAACCGGCCATCCCTATATGGGATCCGAACCCGTGGCCTTGGTGTTATCAGCACCGCACTCTACTGAGTGAGCCACAGGCCGGCCCTAAAAATAAATATTTAACAAATGTGAAAGAGTGATCAATGAATGAATGAATGATGGCTCCCACACAACGAGGGAACCCTGTCCTCTTGAAGGCTACATAATTTCAAGGTCCCAACAAGTCTGTCCTGGAACAGCCTCAATTGTGATGCCCAAACAGTTCTGGGACTAACAAAAAGTGTCACTTTATCCAGATATGCTTAACGTGGAAGCATCTATAAGGAGAGCACCTGGAAGAGGTGGGAGGCTGTCTTCCGTACGGCAGCATGGCGGCTCCCTGCCGGAGATCGGAAGGGCACGATTCCCCGCCTCCCGGGGAAGAAACCGAGATGGCTTTCCGTACAGCAGCATGGTGGCCGCCTGCGGGAGCGGGTTATAACCTCACGCCCGGGGGAAGGGGCCGCCGTAAAGGAGGCTCCGCTTCCTCTTCTGACTTCTCCCGCCTCCCACCGGCTGTCGTAAAAGGGTGAATGGAGAGCGAGTTGTGGGGGGGAAAAAGGGAGGACAGGGGGCGCGGAGTCAGAGTGGCGCAGCGAGTGGCTGCAGGTGGCGACGGTGGCGGGGGGTGGGGAGTGAGGTAGTATAGGGGTCGCGGAGGAGGAGGCTGAGAGAGTAAAAAGGAAACTAAAGCTGCAGTCTGGCCTACTGGTCCGGGGGCCGCGGAGCCCCCACCCGGGGAGATGGACCTCAACCGGATCATCCAGGCGCTGAAGGGCACCATCGACCCGAAGCTGCGAATTGCAGCTGAGAACGAGCTCAACCAGGTGAGGAGCGAGCCTGCGGCGCCCCTCTGCCGCCGAAGCGGCGCCCCCAGCGGGCTCTCAAAGCTCTCCCTCCTCGGCGCCCCTCATCTCCATCCCCACCAGGGCTGCGGACCCTGACGCTTCTGTCGGCCTGTCCCGCCCTCTGTCCCCCGGCCCAGTTGAGCAGCACTCCCAGGATCTTTGCTAAACAGCTCGCGCACCTGTTGGCCACCTTTGCATCTTTTTGGTCGTCTTCCTTCCCCAGTGCAGTTTGTTCAGCACACTTGATCCGCAAAAATAAGCTTTTGCAGCCTTTCCTAGTGTTTTCAGGGTGTGATTCTTTTCCTTAAGTGCGCTGACTTGGGGACGGAGGTGGGAAAATTCATTTCAAATTCAAATCTGAGTTCAGCTTTTCTCCAGACCCAGCCCTTTTTAGGTGTTGCTGTGGGAAACCCTGCCCATCGCCTGCTTCTGTGGGGTTGGCAAGACTGTCTTGACACTGATTGGCAGAGTTTTGTTGGAGCGCTGGGCAATGCTGTCAGGAGAGTGCTCTGGGAAGAACAGACAGTTTTCACGATCAAGTAATATGTTTAGAGGGCTTTCTTATAAACGCTAAAATGTGTAAGACTTTCTTTTATCCTCCGTTTCCTGTTCTTCCTAACCAGCCTTGACCTTGTTCCAGAATTACTCCCAATATTTCAGAATTTTGATGATCCCAAACACTAGCTTATTTCTTCCTCCTCACCTGTAAGAATGAATCATAGATCGCTCACTAACAAGTACGAGTTAAGATCCACCCCTAGGATAGAGTGACAGCTGTTTGAGCTTGCGACAATTCTTAAAATATAAAGGAATATTTAAATCAGTAGTTCTTAGAGTGTTGCCCGGGACCAGCAGCGTCAACATCACCTGAGAACTTGTTAGAAATGCAAATTATGGGACTGCACCACGGATTTAAAGAATCAGAAACTCTGGGGGTGAGGCCCAGTTTTGTTTTAACTAGCTCCTTAGGAGATCCAGTTCCTCCTAAAAGTGTGACAATCACTGTCCTAAGTAAATGTTTCTGTTGGAGTTGACTTTAAAATGCAGATATGTGTTGTGAATCTTTGAAAGGGATTATTTTAATGGAAAATTTGGAATAGGTGTGGAATTTGGAGTAGGTGCGAATCTAGGATTCCCAAGGTCGAGTGAAAACAGTTTGACTATACAGAGGAGCTTGAATTGAACTAAAAAGCCCAAAGGAATGTATTGGTGACTCAAAAAGAAAAGGACTGTCACTCAAAATAGGAAAGTTAGTTAGTACCTGTCCCAGCCTTGCAGAGCAGAAGTACTGTATATTGATTGGCTGGAAGAATAGTAATCCAGGGGTTAGTTAGGAAGAACAAAACGAGCTGAACTTGCAATCTCCTAGTGTGAACAGGGGAGTTGGCCTGTTTGTGACCCCCTACTCCTCACAGTTAGGCCAGATGTTATTTTGATAGTGTTGATAGGGGACATATCTTTGATATTATGTTATGCTTTCCTGCCCCTGTTAGCCTAACCTTGCTTTATTTCTGATTCATCATTATATAAGTGCAGTCGATGTTACAGAAGTGGGAAAGCCTGCAAAACTAGGAGATGCTTAAGACCCAATCCTATTTTTTTCTTCATGGTATTTCAATCCAGATCCATTCCGTTCTCACTCTGCCCTGCCCTCTGTATACCCAACTCATCACAGACCATGATTTCCCCTGCAACTTCTAAAATTAGTTTATTGCTGTGGCACCTTATTTAGCATTTATATTTTATATAATACTTTGGATTGTAATATACTTTCACTAAGTTTATTTGAATTGTCTACAAGTAGAAGACCAAAGTATAATGTCACATAACCTTATGGTGAAACATGCTTATGGTGTTAGGTTTTGTATGCTTGACCTTTACCACCGCTGTAACATCTTGCTTTGTTCGATAAACGGGTGGATAATTTACCATAAGTGATTATGGTCCAGCTCATTTACTTTAGTCTGGGTCTCCCTTCAACAAATATGCTCTGCTTAGGAAATGGGAGCAGCTTCTGCAGCGTACTGACTGTTCTGTCAATTGCCATTTAGAAGAGTAGGAAGCTTCAGCATTAACAGCCTGTGTTCCGAAGAATAAGTTGTTATTTGGAGCTGTATTTTTCTCAGGCCAACATTTTTTGCTTATCAGTGATTGGTTCCCTGACTGCTAGCTGTGATATTGTTTTTATGGGAAAATGTATTTTCAGTTTTATCTCAGGATATTAGGAATGAATCCTGTACACCATCCTCATTGTCTCTAGACCAGAAGTCCCTTCAGCAGCAGTGCAGGGGACGAGGAATGGGTAGGTGTCTGGCTTCAGTAACTCATCTAGAAAGATGTCTTCTTTTAATAAATCATCCTCCAGGTGGCCTCAATAGGGAAATAAAGATATTTACTTTCATTGCCAAGATTTGGAATCCCTGCTTTCCATGCATCTGTACATATGATTTTTATTGCCCTTTAAGAGAGTTTGTTTGTATGAATAACAAATATATTTATTGAGCTATATTGCAGGCATTGGGATAAGAGGCAGCTTTCATGAAGCTTGCATGCTAGTGGCGGATACACACAAGTAATATATATAATTTTAGGTCATAAGTGCTATAGAGAATAAAGCTCGAGAAAGTGTTGGGATGTGTAGATAGGGTAGTCATCCTCTGGAGAATAACATTGACAGAGGCCCGGATGTTGTAAAAGGAGGGAGCCAGGCTAAGAACTGGGAGAGGAACAGAGGGAATAGCAGTTCAGAAAAAGTCCTCAACCTGGCGTGTTGGAAGACTAGAAAGGTTAATGTAGTTGGAGCAGTGAGTCTGCAAATGGGAAAACATCAAGTCTTTGCTTTATATGTGTTCTCATAAAATGCAGAATTTAGCTAAGCAAGCAAATTGCTGATTTTCAGAAAACTTCACAGATATAAAGTAAATATGGTCAAGAAATCATTGAGAAATGAGTCTTATTTTGTTAGAAACTTGAGGCCCAAAGAGGGACAAAGAAGTCTGGTAAATATCTATGAGGAAAGTAGTGCGAGAATATATTTGAATTTATCTTTGAATGTTTTAGCTGGCCTAATTAACGTAGCTGAAAGAAGACAGTTTCAGAAGTTCTGTAAAATGGCAAACAATTCCCTGGTATAGATGTTGCTTAAAAAAAAAAAAAAAGATAAACAGTTGCAAAAAGAGGAGTTCCAAAAAGTGTACAATGCCAACAATGCAGTGTAGTCTCCCCAGTAACTACTTTCAAATAAGTAGCATTAATCTAAGTGTAAAGGTTATTTATGTGTAGTAAGATTTTCAAAAAAGTAACCAAAGCCAGTTTTTATGACTAGAATAAACTATATAGATGTTTTAAACTTTGATTCATTATAAGATCTTTCAATATATAAAAAGTTATAAACATGAGTTATTTTATGTTGTGTATGCATAAGGTATAGAGGATTGGGCTATATCTGTATTAATTTTGCCTCCTGTAAACTGCTGTTAAAACAAATATGTTTTCTTAAAAACTACATTAAAATTCTGGTGGTTTCAGTTATGGATAAAACAGAATTTACTTTACAACAGATTTAGGATTCTGAAAACTACACGAGGGGAAAGGAAGAATAATTATAATTCAAAATTTTATTGAAAGGTATAGAAAGATTTTGAAAACACAGTGTTCTTGGATGAAAAGGATCAATACTTTAAAGATGCCAGTTTTCTCCAAATTAGTTTTCTAATCAAATATTTACTGTGATGAATGCTATTATAAATAAATGAATAGTAAAGGTGATTAAAAATTGAGTGGTATGCACAAACCTGGTTATGTATTGAAAGGGATGCTACCAGGTGAAGCAGGCTCCCAGGAGAAGGTAAACTGGACAGATTCTCTGGGTCATTGCCTGGTTTGGCCTCACTGAGAATTTACGAGTCTTTTCTGGGAATGTCAGTGGGCAAGGCCATGTGTGGGCTTTGGGAATGTGGCAGGGCTGTAATATAGTCCATGTCCTAGACATCTGGATAGAACATGGTCAGAAGGAATGGGCTGCTCTGTACTTATCTTTGAAGTCACCATGGCCAAACTCAGGAGTAGATCAAAGTAGAACACTCCTGTGGAGTGAAATGACCCAGGCCACAGGTCAGAGCAGGAAGTTCATCAGCATCGGCCCACTTACGCATTGTTAAGTTTAAAAGATGGTGCATAGCAGAGGGAAGCTGGTGATGACAGCTTTCAGTACTGTCTTGTGAGTCACACTGTTCCAATCTGGACTGACTCCTCTCTCTAGCTCATGCACAAGTATTTAATGTTATCTTGTCTGTTTTGCTTTGTTGTCTGTCCTGTATTGTGTAGCTCATGTTTTCCTGTTTGTCAGAAATACTGTGAATAAAATTGAAGCACAAGTAATCTGGGAAGAAAACACAATGTATAGGTCAAATAAAAGTTTGGGATTTTAAATTCATAAATAACTTAGAATTGATTAAGAATAAAACAAATATTCCATTTACAAAAGGATAAAGTAAGTAAGGAATTTGTAGAAAAAACAAATAGCCAACAAATAGGGAAAAAAAAAATTCACCTCCTTAGTGATAGTAAATGTAATTTAAAATATTAAGAAGGTTTAAAGTCACAAAGGGATGATAATACTTGGATAGATGGGAGTGTAAATTGGTATAGCTTTCCTTGAGGCATTTTGACAAAATATGTCAAAAATCATAAAAATGTTCATACTTTTTTATTCATTGTTTATTCTAAGGACTTTTTTTTTTTTGACTTGAAGTATTTTAGTAATTTTTATTCTGCCTTGGAGAGTTTCTCTCACTTTAAAAGTTTTTATTTGGACAGTAACGTATTCAGTAATTCTAACAGCTTATATTCATTTATATTGTCCTATGTTATAAAACATTTCTTTGTAATTTCAGTCCTACAAGATTATCAATTTTGCCCCCAGTTTACTGCGGATTATCGTCTCTGACCATGTGGAATTCCCAGTACGCCAGGCAGGTGAGTTGGTTTTTTATCCTTTATAAATTTATTTATAGGTGAAAGTAGAATGAGAGTTTTATTTTAATTCTAAATACCTGTAATCTTTTGAAAAATTAGGAAGCACAAATGAAGTATTTCAAGTGGCTTAAAAATTCATTTTTTTCCTCTGGAAACATAGAGGTAGATATTGAGCTCTCGAATCTCCCCTAGCTTTCTCTTTCCTTCTCTGCCTTCTGTTCACCAATTCCTTGCCTCTGTTACCTTGCCATTTTTTCCCCTTACCTTCTCCAATTTTAGTAGCTTAATTTCTCTAATTTATTATGATTTCTGGTAGCCTAGCCTTTGGGCCCATGGATTAAGATCTTAAATTTATGTATGTGAATTTGAGCTCCATTCATGCATCAGATCATGGAGGTAATGTATTGCACAGATGTTCTTAACCAGGTGATAGGGGAGCAGGACTTTTTCTTTTAAACATGAAACTTACTTTTGAGTCTGTAGGATCTTATGTAGTTCCATGATGTTATGCATTGTTCTTTTTCATTTTTATTTTTTTTTTATGGACTAGTCATTAGACCCCAGAAGGTTAAAAATTGAGAAAGGCTTGTAGCACTATGAGTCCTGAAAAAATAATAATTACAAGCTAAAGGGAGTAAAATGACAATTGCTAATTAAAGAAAATGTAGTTAAAAAGAGTTGTTATGTAAATGACATATGCTCCTAATAAGTAATTTGGGCAGTATAGAAGAATACAAAGAAGAAAATAAAATTACCCAACAATCATCACTTAGAAATGACCATTATTAACATTAGGTGAACATTAGTCTTTGTATGTGTTCAGGAAGAAGTAGAAGGACAGGCGAAGAGTTTTCTAGAAATGGGATCATAAATCTACTGCTAATAAGAGTATTTAATTTCATTTAACATAGAGTAAAAAAGTAAGGAATTACTAAGCTTTGGGAAAAAATTTATACCAATATATATGATTTTCTAAAAGATCCCTTGTGGTTAAGATAAAAAAGAAAAACCTATAGAAAAACATTCATGTTGAAATTTTTTTTCTTTCTTTCTTTTTTTTGGGGGGGTTTTGACAGCTGGCTGGCACAGTTATCCTAATACTTGACCTTGGTGTTATCAGCACTATGCTCTAATCAGTGAGCTAACCGGCCAGCTCCATATTGGAATTATTTTTTACTTTAATAAGGTTTATAAAACATAATTGTAAGATTTTTGAAACCATAATTCTTGTTTTAATCTTTGTTTTATAAAATAGGGCTGTTTCAAAACAACATTTTGGCTAAATGGAACCTGTTTTAATAACCTAAGTATTTATAGGGCCATTATGAAGTTCTTATAAAACTTTTCACAAGCAGCATTTAAAAAGATCTTAAACAATTTATTACATTAATATTCCCCATATCCTCATCAACTCTGTATAACTGGTTGGTTTTTTTTTTTTTTTTCCCTTGTTGGCTGGTCGGTATGGGGATCCAAACCCTTGACCTTGTTACAAGGCAGTGCTATAACCAACTGAGCTAACTGGCCAGCCCAACTTTGAATCTTAATAACATAGGTAATGAGGTTTTGATATAAAATGTAAACAGCATTTAAAGGCAAGTTTGTCTTTATAATTTATGTGAATTTCTTTTTTTTTTTTTTTCCCTTTTTGTCTTTTTTACTGACCAGTAACGGGATTGCAACCCTCGGTGTTGCGCCCGTACTGGGGACTGGCAACGGGATCACAACCCTCGGTGTTGCTCCCGCGCCTCGCTCGGCCAGTGAGCAGGAACCGGTCTGTATGTGGGATCCGACCCCTCGGGCGGGAGCGCTGCCGCGCTTCCCAAGCGGCGCACTATCCAGTGCGCCACCGGGCCGGCCAAAAAGCAGCCATTTTTATCAGTCTGAAATTGTGTAAAGTTCTACATTATAACTATCCTAAATTTAAGTGCCCTTTATAGATTTTCTGCTCTATTTAATCTATTATTAAAATATATAGATGCCCCAAGAACTCTGTGGTGATATCCAGATAGTTTATTACTTTAGCATGACATTTAAAAAGAATGATGTGATCTTTGCTTTAAATAAAATCAGCCTGTATAAGGCTGTAAAAAAAAAAAAAAAACAACTGCTAATATTGAGTGGAAAGACATATAGCTATGCAAAGTGTTCTTGATTTTTTTGCTTGTGGGCAATTCTAAAATATTCTTGCTGCCATTGAGCAAGTTTATTAGTGAATGTCCTTTCTTACCTTAATGTAAATTCTTAAGAAAAAAAATTTTTTTTTTTCCTTTTTGTCTTTTTTACTGACTGGTAACGGGATCACAACCCTCGGTGTCGCGCCCGCACAATGCTCAGCCAGTGAGCAGGAACCGGTCTCCACATGGGATCCGAACCCTCGGCGGAAGTGCCGCCGTGCTCCCAAGCGGCGCACTCTCCAGTGCGCCACCGGGCCGGCCCAGAAATTTAATATTTTATGTTGCCAAGCAAAACAAAACAAATTTGGATATTTGCTCTACTGTTTTCCTTTTGAGGTATTGATAAGCATAATAGCATTATTAATATTATCATATAATGTTTAGAGAAGGAAGCCCATCTTAAATTTAGGATAGTTATGATTGGGAATCTCTCAAGTCACTTTGTTTCCAATTTTTTAGTCCTTACCTCTGAAGAGAAGAGACCCTTTAGTAAAATTCTCTAATACATGAAAACTTAAGTTCAGAAACATACTTTCTTTAGTGCATTTTGGAGTTGCTATGAGAAGAGTAGTTTGGATTTAAAAGTGGTGGTTGAGGGGTGTTATATTAGACCTGAGTCATTGGTGGTGACTGATGTGGGACCATCACTTGAAAAATAACAGTTTCTGTTTTCTGTAAGCTGCCTGCTTTTGTTCTTCTGAGTTTTATAATTATTATAATTTTTTTTGTATTTCCAAAAGATGGATAAGGAGAGGATATAAAAATTCAATCTACAGTTATTTATTCAGAGGTTATTCACTTGTTAAGATTAACCTCACTCAACATTCTAGAATGCAGGACCTATAAATAAGCAGGAAGATGCCTCTGATCAGTTCAGAAGAACTTCAAGAAGTACTTGTATTAAAATTCATGTTTTGTTTGTAGGAAACTTCTCGGCTCCTCAGAATCTATTTAATCTTATTTTAGACATAAATTATACATTTATTATATGATCTCCTAGCCTTTAACAGTTTAAAGTAATAAGAAAGGAGAGAAGTGCTACCAAATTACAATGAAAAATGGAAAGGCTTAGAAACATCAACTAAAAAACATGGCATTCTGCTTCACTGAATTTATAACAGCACCTCGTTGCCTTTGAGGTTATGAGACCCAATTGATCTCTGTAGTTGTGTTTCTGGGTCTAGAAAGTAGACCTTTAGAGATGATTCATTGTGTTTGAGGAGAGAAGTTTGTGTTTTAGAAAATTAATTTCAAAGATCAGATGCTTAAAATGGTAAGTGGATTTTGTAGGAAAACACAGTTTAATACTTCTTTCTTTATGAATTGGATTAAGATGATATTAGTGTTTCGTTTCTTAGCTCGGGCAAATGGTTAGATAGATACTTGAGTTAAATGATTAAAGGGAGGTCTGTAGATTGTTGATACGATTACAATTATCTCTGGTATTTTTCCTTCATTATTCTTAGTAATCCATGATTATCTGTAAGAGTAACTCATGTTCTCTTTGCAAATCATTATATTAAGTTCAGTTTTATTTAATGAATTGTATGTTTAACCATATACAAATTAGTCAGTGTGCCTTTCATACAAGGTTGGCTCGCATAGTGCTCCATAATAAAAATATATTTTTAGTGATAAAATTAACAGCATTTAACGACTGAATCATAAATAAGTCCATGATTTTACCATGTTGGTATTTTTGCTGTCTAAAGTTTGCTTTTCTTTATTTTCAAGATTAGTTCTATAGGGGTCGAAATGATTTTGTGTATAATATAGTTGGTTTTTCTTTTTGCAAAAATGAATCCCTTGAAATCAGTCTGAACTGCTGACAGTTTGGTTCATATCCTTAGATAATTCATTTATTTTTTCTAAACTGTCTACATATTTAATGTCTACTTTTAGTCAAACACTGTTATTTAATATAATAACTGTACCAGGATAAATGATGGTACTTAGTCCAGAGCCTGTGTAGTCTAGATTAAAAGCAAATAAGGAAAAAAAAAACCCCAAAACCCAAACTAACACACCCACCCAACCACCCACACACACCCACACACAAATACCCCCCTAAATAATTTTTGTTTTTATCCAAACAAATCAAAATCCTAGGTAGAATAATCCTTTTCAGACTTTTGGTGAATCAAAATTAATGAGAGAGGAGCTTACAAGATGTCAAGTTCATAATTTCATTAAATTTCTGTTATGTTTTAGCCAATGTAGAACATGTTGATTTAATCTCTATGGCATAATACTTTTACCAGCCAATTTAGTTTTATGTTAAAAGTGGGATGAAGGGAGGGTTAAGTGGGGGAAGAAGGAAGAGAAGCTTAAAGGATAAAGTTATGATGCTTTGCAGATCCCATCTCTTTATCTTATGAAATTAAAAGTATTTATTTGTATTCATTGTTCAACTGAGATGGTTAGAAGCTTCACATTCCCTCTCAAAACCCTGTAGCAATATGTTAACTGTTTCTTTCAGAAGACTTTTCTTAAAAGTTGAGGTTGAAGATGGTTAAAAAGAATAGGAACAAAATCATTGGTTATGTATTTTGATAGAAATAAACAGATAAAAAATTTCCTGAGATTTTTCCAAAAATATCTGAAGACTGATGTATGTTTCCCTATTATATTTACAAGTACTAAATATTTCAAAAGGGTTAGATGAAAATTATCAATACTGTAAAAAGCATAAATATTCCAAAATGGTAGTGCAGGATAGTAGCAGGTAAAAGAAATTAAATAAAAAAAAAAAAATCTACATGAAGAAAGTAGACTTTACCTGGTGTCAGTTCAGTATTAGGCATTGTGAAAAGAGTGATTTTATGATCTCAATGTATGTTTAGTGTGGTCTCATTTAGACCACTTGTATTTAGTCTGATGCTAGAGTTGATTTGATGATAGCTTGATTTGATGAAGAGTTTTCTGCTCAGACTAGCTAAAGTAAAATCTTTAAATTCTTACCCATTTTCCCCTCTTAACTTAGCTATTTTTTACTTGTAAGACTTGCCATGTTTGCTGGGTGTCATGTTTAGCATTGAAGGGTTTAGTCTTTTATGCTCTATAAAGCTGAATTAAAGCCATTCTTTTGATACTGCTACATTAACACTTTTCCTCAAACTTAGCTGCCATTTACCTGAAGAACATGGTGACACAGTACTGGCCAGACCGAGAACCTCCACCGGGAGAAGCAATATTTCCATTCAACATTCATGAAAATGATCGCCAGCAAATACGTGATAACATTGTGGAAGGAATAATTCGGTCTCCGGATTTAGTGAGGTACATTATGCTGTGTCTGTATGATTACTAGGAAGCACAATATTTGGATCTGGGGGCGAGGGCCGTTGGATCTCATTATCTGCCTCAAGTTTGTTTTCTCAAAGAGGTAAAGTAATGAAGATAGATACTCAAAAAATATTATTTTACTTATTTGTCTTTGCATTTGTAATTCTTTGCCTCAAAATATTTTGGGAGTGATTTAGTTGACCTAAGTTGCTACAAAGAGATAAGGTAAAAATCATACTTAACCAATGATTGTGTAAATCCTCACAGTATAAATAACCTATGTTCGTAGTAATGATCTCATGACTTTTTACTACATATATGCTTTTCTTTGATATAGGGAGATTAATTATGGGAATTTTAACCTACTAGTGTTCTTAACCCTATATTTTAATTCGTTTTTATGAACTGAGTATTTTTTCCTTTGGAGAAGACAGGATAGAGTAGGTACAAACTAGAGGAGTTGTCTCCAGTTTTTCAGATTTATAGAGTAGATGCTGTAGAGCAGCACTGTCCAATAGCAGTTTCTGCAGTGATAAAAATGTTCTATATCTGTGCTGTCCAATATTTAGTCATGTGGCATAAGTGGCTGTTGAACACTTGAAATGTGGCTAATGCAGCTGAGGAATTGCATTTTTAATTCCATTTAATGTTGATTCATTTAAAATGTGCATATGTAGCTAGTGGCTGCTCTATTGGACAGTATAGCTGTAGAGTCATAAAAATTTTGCAATCTTAAAATAGGAGGAACAAATTTTTTTCAAGGTACAACTGGTAATTAATTTTCTTTTGAAAATGGAGGGGCAGGGCTGGCCCTGTGGCGCACTTGGGAGAGTGCGGCGCTTGGGTGCACAGCGGTGCTCCCGCCACGGGTTCGGATCCTATATAGGGATGGCCGGTGCACTCACTGGCTGAGCGCGGTGCGGGCAACACCAAGCCAAGGGTTGCGATCCCCTTACCGGTCACAAAAAAGACAGAAAAAAAAAAAAAAGAAAGAAAAAAGAAAATGGAGGGGCAAATAGGTGAAAAGGGTAGGGGGATGAAACCATTTAATGTCGAGAATAGACAAAACTTTGGCCCTGAATGTCTAAGAGATATGACATAAGCAATGGAAAAGGGAAGAAGTGTGAGGGGAACAGTAACAGGAAGGAATTGAACTCTTTGTGCAGTTATTTTGTTAGTTGAGAGGAGAAAACTGGTGTACTGATTACAGAAAGTCACCATTATTCTCATTCATCGCCAAAATGCCAGTCGTGGGACTGATACCCCTATGGTACCATCATATATCCATTTCCTGTCAAAATCTTTACATTTTTAGGTCTCCCTGAATCTTCCAATGGTTCGGAATGAGAAAGGACTAGGAGGGTCAATGTGAAGATGAAATTTGGAAAAATGAAAAGCTTCAGTTTCATTGCATACAAATACAACATTTGTTGTTTAAGGGGACAACTGCTGGTGGCACAAGAGATCTTTATTATGAGACAGTTGTTTGTGTGACTTTGCTTCTTTTATGTCTTTAAGGCTTAACTGTAATCACCCTTGAAGAAATATTTTCTTCCCTTCTCAAAGTTTAAGAGTATTGCAAAGGAAATTTTCAAATAGATTTGGTAACATGAGGAAAATGCCTTGTTTTGTTTGATTTTACCAGTTTCAGGAAATCCAAGTTATTGATTGTTCAACTTTTTTTTTTTTTGCACTGTGGAATCCTTATTTTGCCAGATTTACTTCCTAACCATTTGCAAATGACCATGTAGGACATATTTGGTGAAAATATTTATAGTATATAGAAAAGAAATTTTTTTCCTTATCTTCTTTTCAGTCCCAGTTGTAGTTGAGAT